CCGGTGGATCGAGAGGTGACATCGAATTTGTGTCTCAGGTATATCAAATGTGATCCCTGGTGAGCTTGACAGTTGGACTTCTTTGAGACTCTTTTTTATGTTGTAACTTTGGGGATGCCATTCTCGTGAGTCTCGCTGTCGGCTGCCCAGTGTGCCCCCACACCAGTGGGACGGATTCCAATGGCACGAGAGAGAGAGAGAGAGAGAACCTTGGGAAGCATTTTGACGGACTTCACCAAAAAGTTGGCTCCAAGGTCGCGGTCGCGCAGGGGCGAGTTCAGGCGGGGTGAACGTTCGGACGGCTTGCCCCCAGGGTAGGAGTGGCGGAAATATCGGAAGCTCGTACGGCTTTTGCTCAGGCTCCTGGCGCAGCTTTTGGAGGGCCTCACCGGTTTTGCCGAGGAGCGGGGAGTTCTCAGGCTTCCAACTGCTCGGTTCCGCTTCTTTCCGGGCTTATCCAAGGACTGGGGCAGGCCAACTTTCGTTGCGCACCCCGTGGGCCGCAGGGCGCACAACTTGGGCGATTTTTTTTCGAACCGACAGGCCCGTGCTCCTTCAAATCCAAGCTCGCCGGGAATGTTGGGAAGACTCCTTCAAGGAGGTGCGATGCGGAAGATTCTAGAGGAAATTGTATCAGTTAGCCACCCCCTGATTTTGGTTGGGCATGCGGCGAACTTTATTTGGAATTTCCAGCGGCTGGTTTCTATGACACTCGGTTCCCTCAAAGCACTCGGACTGGTTGCTCCTGGCGTTTGCCCCATCTGACGGTGTAAGTCAGAGGCAGAGGCATTCCGATCGGTGTCATGCAAAAGGGTCCGCATCCCCTCCTCAAACCTTCAAAAAGGACTTGGGTGGGGGTGGCTTGCTGATTATTTTATTTGGAACTGTTGGAACCGGGGGCACCACCCGCTTCCGCCGATGTGTGGGTCGGAACGCGTGATAAGACCACGCGTGGCAGGAGGCGCCGGACGAGTTTCCGAGCTACGCTCCCCGGCCAAGACCAGCTTGGCAAGTCTGAGGGTCCAAGTGCCAGAGGGCTCGGGGCAGGACCTAGCTGAGTCCCTTTCCACTTGTTTTGTTTTTTTCTTTCTGAAAAGTCCTTGGACACTCAAACTTAATGAGTCAAAATGGCGCCGCTTGAAGTGCAGAATTTAAAATACGGCCAACAAACATACAGCCGGTAGGTCTTGTCAGGTTCTAGCAGGGCAATTGGGCCTATTGGGCCTGGAAAGGGGAAGCAGAAATGGGATGGGCTTCGGATTGCACCCGCCGGGGGCTTAGGAACCCCTGCAAGAGGAAGATTCCAGAAGTGGCCAGCGGTTCCAACCAGATGCATGGACTTTCACGCGGTTTTTGTAGTTTGTTCCTTAGTTAGTTCTTTTGTTCTGACCACTGGGTTACGCCATCCGTTGTTTCAGTGGCTGCCCACCTTTTTGTTGCTTGACGGCTGGAAGTCCTTGGGGGAGTTGAGCTTCCATGGCTGGGCCCTGGGAGGGAGGGGGCACTCAAAGGACCACAAGGGACCTTTGACCACATGGATTTCTGCCAGGTGTGCGGAACGCCGGGGCACAGGAAGCTCATCTTCCCAAAGATTTGCACTGAGCGTTCAAAAACCACATGAAGGAAGTTAGTCAAGGTTTTGTCCTGCAAGTTGCCGTGCGACAGGAAAACATGGGGGGCCGATCAACTTTCGAGAAAGGGATGCCGTGAAACGGGCTGTGCCAGGTATCAGAATATGTAGGACCTGGATTGTTTGTTAGCTTCAGCCCCAGTCTTCCTTTGGACTGGTTTTTCGCCGGTGATGCCTTCAGACTACGTAGTTCGTGGTGCAAGGTAGTAGTACGTAGCATGCCGAGAGCAGGTTTTGCACGAACATCCGCGAAAGGCCGACATCTGGAATCATCACCTTCGCATTTCTGAGGCATATAGGCAACGGATGCCCCTACCGGGTTTGCGGCATCAGCCTCAAGAAAGGGTCCCATCTTAGCGTTCGGGCCACTGAGATGGACAAAAGCCAAGCCCCAGCTCGTTGGCCGTGTGCCAAAGCGAGTATCCGTGCGCAGGCTTGGGTGGATTCAAAAGGTCTGTAATTGGCAGAAATGCAAGGAATTGCTTTGCATGGTGTTGATGACTTATGGTCATGGTCGTGACTTCAGGGTGAAAGTGTTCACTCGAAGGCGTCCTTCCTTGTTGAACGTTTCGCGTTGGCAATTGTTCTCGTTTTCTGAGCCCGGTTTCCAAGCAGAAACAAACACATGCACTAAGGAGAAGGAGCTGCAGATGAACACGGAGCTGAAAGCTAGCGTGGCAGCCCTGCACAAGTTCTTCAACATCTCCGCAGCGCGGCGAAACAGCACGCCTAAGGTGATCAGAGAATGACCCTGCCTCCGACTAACATGGAAGCCCGCCGTAGGCTACAAGTCAAGCTAGCGACCTCAGGGCTGTGGCTTGCGACTGGTTCGCGCTTGAAGATGGTTCTTTGAATATTAGCTGGCTTCACAATTACCGTCAGCTCCTTGACGTAGGATTATTTCACGCAAGTGTTGCTTTTGTGTTTTCCCGAAAACAACAAAACGGGACGTCCAAAAAGTACATAGTTACAAAACCAGAGAAACACATGAACAATGACACGATACTAACCTCGGAAGGAATGCACCGCAGAGCAGCAGTTTTGACGCTGGCTCAGATGGGAACCCTTATAGTTTGAGGTGTTTTACTTCCCTCAGATAGGACCCCCTAGATCCAAGAAAGGGCTCAGTTCGTTGAGGTTTTGGATCCCAGGCGAGTTACCATCACGGGGACGTTCCCGAACCAATAGGGAGGTGAAGATCCGACAATTCCGCATGGTAAAGGACAATCCTGGGATTGCATCTTTGGGAGATGCCCGATTTCCGATTTCAGATGTCAGTGGACGTCGGATCTTTCGGGAGGGGCTGCGCTCATTAGGTGAAGGCAGCTGGATTCGATGGAGGGGAGGAAGCAAGGCAGCAGGAAGACGTATCTCACGTGCTGAAGTCCGAGGTAATTGAAGCAGAGGGGGGCTTGGTCAACCCATTCCCCACATCCAACTACACCATTCGAGGCATATCCGCAAAGGGCCGCCGCGGCAAGAAAGAACAGCCGCTCTTCAGAAGATTGCCGCCCTCGACTGCGGAAGAACCTGCGCGCACAAATTCTGAAGAGGAACCGGCGTATGCAAATACCACGGTCGCTTCACCAGAGGAGGTTGCAGAGTCGAAAGGCGAGGGCGAGGAGGAGGCAGCAAAGGTGTCAGTGCACGTTGGCCCCCCAGTAGTCTCTAGGCAGACTGCAGTACCCGCCGGCTTGCCAAAGGTTCCAGGGTCAACCCCCAGCAGCAAAGACAATACCCTAACGCATGAGCATCAAACTCTGACAGCAACATCTGAAGAGGAACCGGAGTATGCAAACACCACGGTTGCTTCACCAGAGGAGGTTGCAGAGTCGAAAGGCGAGGGCGAGGAGGAGGCAGCAAGGGTGTCAGTGCACGTTGGCCCCCCAGTAGTCTCTAGGCAGACTGCAGAGCCCGCCAGCTTGCCAAAGGTTCCAGGGTCAACCCCCAGCAGCAAAGACAATACCCTTACGCATAAGCATCAAACTCTGACAGCAACTTCTGAAGAGGAACCGGAGTATGCAAACACCACGGTTGCTTCGCCAGAGGAGGTTGCAGAGTCGAAAGGCGAGGGCGAGGAGGAGGCAGCAAAGGTGTCAGTGCACGTTGGCCCCCTGGTAGTCTCTAGGCAGACTGCACAGCCCGCCGGCTTGCCAAAGGTTCCAGGGCCAACCCCCAGCAGCAAAGACGATACCCTGACTCATGAGCATCAAACCCTGACAGCAACTTCTGAAGAGGAACCGGTGTATGCACATGGCGAGAGCGAGGAGGAGGCAGCAAAGGTGTCAGTGCACGTTGGCCCCCCAGTAGTCTCTAGGCAGACTGCAGTACCCGCCGGCTTGCCAAAGGTTCCAGGGTCAACCCCCAGCAGCAAAGACAATACCCTAACGCATGAGCATCAAACTCTGACAGCAACATCTGAAGAGGAACCGGAGTATGCAAACACCACGGTTGCTTCGCCAGAGGAGGTTGCAGAGTCGAAAGGCGAGGGCGAGGAGGAGGCAGCAAAGGTGTCAGTGCACGTTGGCCCCCCAGTAGTCTCTAGGCAGACTGCAGAACCCGCCGGCTTGCCAAAGGTTCCAGGGTCAACCCCCGGCAGCAACGACAATACCCTTACGCCCGAGCATGGAACTCTGACAGCAACATCCGAAGAGGAACCGGTGTATGCAAATACAACGGTTGCTTCGCCGGAGGAGGTTGCAGAGTCGAAAGGCGAGGGCGAGGAGGAGGCAGCAAAGGTGTCAGTGCACGTTGGCCCCCCAGTAGTCTCTAGGCAGGCTGCAGAACCTGCCGGCTTGCCAAAGGTTCCAGGGCCAACCCCCAGCAGCAAAGACGATACCCTGACTCATGAGCATCAAACCCTGACAGCAACTTCTGGAGAGGAACCGGTGTATGCACATGGCGAGGGCGAGGAGGAGGCAGCAAAGGTGTCAGTGCACGTTGGCCCCCCAGTAGTCTCTAGGCAGACTGCAGAACCCGCCGGCTTGCCAAAGGTTCCAGGGTCAACCCCCAGCAGCAAAGACAATACCCTTACGCATAAGCATCAAACTCTGACAGCAACTTCTGAAGAGGAACCGGAGTATGCAAACACCACGGTTGCTTCGCCAGAGGAGGTTGCAGAGTCGAAAGGCGAGGGCGAGGAGGAGGCAGCAAAGGTGTCAGTGCACGTTGGCCCCCTGGTAGTCTCTAGGCAGACTGCAGAACCCGCCGGCTTGCCAAAGGTTCCAGGGCCAACCCCCAGCAGCAAAGACAATACCCTTACGCCTGAGCATGGAACTCTGACAGCAACTTCTGAAGAGGAAGCGGTGTATGCAACTACCACGGTTGCTTCGCCAGAGGAGGTTGCGGAGTCGCAAGGCGAGGGCGAGGAGGAGGCAGCAAAGGTGTCAGTGAACGTGAGCAGCCCAGCAGCGACCAGGCAGACTGCAGAACCCGCCGGCTTGCCAACGGTTCCAGGGTCAACCCCCAGCAGCAAAGACAATACCCTTACGCGTGAGCATGGAACTTCGTCAGAAACTTCTGAAGAGGAACCGGTGTATGCAACTACCACGGTCTCTTCACCAGAGGAAGTTGCGGACTCGCAAGGCGAGGGCGAGGAGGAGGAGGCAGCAAAGGTGTCGGTGAACGTTAGCAGCCCAGCAGCGACCAGGCAGACTGCAGTTCCAGGGTCAACCCCCCGCAGCAAAGACAATACCCTTACGCCTGAGCATGGAACTCTGACAGCAACTTCTGAAGAGGAACCGGTGTATGCAACTACCACGGCCGCTTCACCAGAGGAAGTTGCGGAATCGCAAGGCGAGGGCGAGGAGGAGGCAGCAAAGGTGTCAGTGAACGTTAGCAGCCCAGCAGCGACAAGGCAGACTGCAGAGCCCGCCGGCTTGCCAAAGGTTCCAGGGTCAACCCCCAGCAGCAAAGACAATACCCTTACGCCTGAGCATGGAACTCTGACAGCAACTTCTGAAGAGGAACCGGTGTATGCAACTACCACGGTCGCTTCACCAGAGGAAGTTGCGGAGTCGCAAGGCGAGGGCGAGGAGGAGGCAGCAAGGGTGTCAGTGCACGTTGGCCCCCCAGTAGTCTCTAGGCAGACTGCAGAGCCCGCCAGCTTGCCAAAGGTTCCAGGGTCAACCCCCAGCAGCAAAGACAATACCCTTACGCATAAGCATCAAACTCTGACAGCAACTTCTGAAGAGGAACCGGAGTATGCAAACACCACGGTTGCTTCGCCAGAGGAGGTTGCAGAGTCGAAAGGCGAGGGCGAGGAGGAGGCAGCAAAGGTGTCAGTGCACGTTGGCCCCCTGGTAGTCTCTAGGCAGACTGCACAGCCCGCCGGCTTGCCAAAGGTTCCAGGGCCAACCCCCAGCAGCAAAGACGATACCCTGACTCATGAGCATCAAACCCTGACAGCAACTTCTGAAGAGGAACCGGTGTATGCACATGGCGAGAGCGAGGAGGAGGCAGCAAAGGTGTCAGTGCACGTTGGCCCCCCAGTAGTCTCTAGGCAGACTGCAGTACCCGCCGGCTTGCCAAAGGTTCCAGGGTCAACCCCCAGCAGCAAAGACAATACCCTAACGCATGAGCATCAAACTCTGACAGCAACATCTGAAGAGGAACCGGTGTATGCAACTACCACGGTTGCTTCACCAGAGGAAGTTGCGGAGTCGCAAGGCGAGGGCGAGGAGGAGGCAGCAAAGGTGTCAGTGAACGTTAGCAGCCCAGCAGCGACCAAGCAGACTGCAGAGCCCGCCGGCTTGCCAAAGGTTCCAGGGTCAACCCCCAGCAGCAAAGACAATACCCTTACGCCTGGGCATGGAACTCTGACAGCAACTTCTGAAGAGGAACCGGTGTATGCAACTACCACGGTCGCTTCACCAGGGAAAGTTGCGGAGTCGCAAGGTGAGGGCGAGGAGGAGGCAGCAAAGGTGTCAGTGAGCGTTGGCCGCCCAGCAGCGACCAAGCAGACTGCAGAGCCCGCCGGCTCCGGCTCCAGCAGCGAATCCAATACTCTTACGCCTGAACATAGAGCTGTGACAGAGACTTCTGAAGAGGGGCCAGTTCCTTCTCTTCAGGGCAATGTGCAGGACGGGTGCGGGAGTCGATTGCGGTTTGCAGTTTGCGTGATGGGCTGGCTCGCAAGAGGGGCTTTGTGGGCTTACCTTTGAGGGTGTTTTACGTGCGCGGGCACGCCAAAAACTCCTTCGTGTTGGCTTTGCAGGAGGTGGGCTTGTGCCATGTTCAAGATTTGGGGGTGGGTCAGAATTAAACCATCAGGGGACCGCAGGTTTTAGTCCATGGTTCCATGTACCAGGGTTTCATTTTGGGTACCTGTTTTTGACCCACAGCCATTTGGGTGTGGGCCCGGCTTGCTTTTTTTGAATGGCACTTCGGGTGGCCCACCTGTAGGCCCATACCACAATCTTAGTGCTGAGGGTATGGTATTCGCAGTGGGGGTGTTCGCATTCTTCTGGGGAATTCTGCGGAACAAATTGTTGCAGGTGGGTTTGTTTGTTGGTTGTTGGCCGGTTCTTGCTTGTTTATTTCTTTTGTTTCTCTCTCTTTGTTTGTTTCTTTCTTCGCGTGTTATTCCTTGTTTTCTTGTTTTCATTCTTTGTTGATTTGTTGATTTGTTTTGTTTATTTGGATATTTATTTGTTTATCTATTGAGTGAATCATTTTGTGTAGCTTGCTCGACTCAAAGTCCTGCAATTCATGATTCCACCAAGTGAAAAAATAAAAGCCACCAACCAGACAGCCAACCAACCAACCAACCAACGAACCAACCAAACAAACAAACAAACAAACAAACAAACAAACAAACAAACAAACAAACAAACAAACAAACAAACACACAACACCACGGACATACAAGCGAGCAAGAAAGCCAGTAGTCACGCCAACAAGCCAGCCAGAAAGCAGGCCAGCAAGCCAGCAGGCAAAAGCCAACATGGACACGAACACGTAGACAAACATATCAAATCACAAGTTCATCACGAAGAGCATTCAGTTTTGCCCCCGAACCGGACAGCACTGGCAGCGAGGAAAAGACCACTAAGACAACTGAGGAGGAGACATCAGGTTCGTCAGAGGTTCGCAGAAGTGCGACGGGCAACTCGCCCAAGTCACCGCAGACAGGCAAAAAGCCCAAGACCAGCACCAAGGAACGCAGCACGCAGACCAGCAAGACTGGGTCCGAACCTGACAGCACTGGAAGCGAGGAGACCAGTGAGACAACTGAGGAGGAGACGACAGGTTCATCACCCAAGTCACGGAAGGCAAGCAAAGCACTCACCAGCAGCAAGACTGGGTCCGAACCTGAACGCACTGGAAGCGAGGAGGCCACTGAGACAACTGAGGAGGAGACGTCAGGTTCATCAGAGGTCAGCAGCCGTGCGACGGGCAGCTCACCCAAGTCACCGCAGACAGGCAAAAAGCCCAAGACTAGCAGGAAGGAACACAACACGCAGACCAGCAAGACTGGGTCCGAACCTGAAAGCACTGGAAGCGAGGAGACCAGTGAGACAACTGAGGAGGAGACGACAGGTTCATCACCCAAGTCACGGAAGGCAAGCAAAGCACTCAAGGGCAGCACCAGCAGCAAGACTGGGTCCGAACCTGAACGCACTGGAAGCGAGGAGACCAGTGAGACAACTGAGGAGGAGGAGACGTCAGGTTCATCACCCAAGTCACGGAAGGCAAGCAAAGCACTCAAGGACAGCACCAGCAGCAAGACTGGGTCCGAACCTGAACGCACTGGAAGCGAGGAGACCACTGAGACAACCGAGGAGGAGACAACAGGTTCATCACCCCAGTCACGGAAGGCAAGCAAAGCACTCAAGGGCAGCACCAGCAGCAAGACTGGGTCCGAACCTGAAAGCACTGGAAGCGAGAAGACCACTGAGACAACTGAGGAGGAGACGTCAGGTTCATCAGAGGTCAGCAGCCGTGCGACGGGCAGCTCACCCAAGTCACCGCAGGCAGGCAAAACACCCAAGACCAGCACCAAGGAACGCAGCACGCAGACCAGCAAGACTGGGTCCGAACCTGACAGCACTGGAAGCGAGGAGACCAGTGAGACAACTGAGGAGGAGACGACAGGTTCATCACCCAAGTCACGGAAGGCAAGCAAAGCACTCAAGGGCAGCACCAGTAGCAAGACTGGATCCGAACCTGAACGCACTGGAAGCGAGGAGACCACTGAGACAACCGAGGAGGAGACATCAGGTTCGTCACAGGTCAGCAGCCGTGCGACGGGCAGCTCACCCAAGTCACCGCAGACAGGCAAAAAGCCCAAGACCAGCAGGAAGGAACACAACACGCAGACCAGCAAGACTGGGTCCGAACCTGAAAGCACTGGAAGCGAGGAGACCAGTGAGACAACTGAGGAGGAGACAACAGGTTCATCACCCAAGTCACGGAAGGCAAGCAAAGCACTCAAGGACAGCACCAGCAGCAAGACTGGATCCGAACCTGAACGCACTGGAAGCGAGGAGACCACTGAGACAACCGAGGAGGAGACATCAGGTTCGTCACAGGTCAGCAGCCGTGCGACGGGCAGCTCACCCAAGTCACCTCAGACAGGCAAAAAGCCCAAGACCAGCAGGAAGGAACACAACACGCAGACCAGCAAGACTGGGTCCGAACCTGAAAGCACTGGAAGCGAGGAGACCAGTGAGAAACCTGAGGAGGAGACGACAGGTTCATCACCCAAGTCACGGAAGGCAAGCAAAGCACTCAAGGACAGCACCAGCAGCAAGACTGGGTCCGAACCTGACAGCACTGGAAGCGAGGAGACCACTGAGACAACTGAGGAGGAGACAACAGGTTCATCACCCAAGTCACGGAAGGCAAGCAAAGCACTCAAGGACAGCAGGAGCAGCAAGACTGGGTCCGAACCTGAACGCGCTGGAAGCGAGGAGACCAGTGAGACAACTGAGGAGGAGACAACAGGTTCATCACCCCAGTCACGGAAGGCAAGCAAAGCACTCAAGGGCAGCACCAACAGCAAGACTGGGTCCGAACCTGAACGCACTGGAAGCGAGGAGACCAGTGAGACAACTGAGGAGGAGACAACAGGTTCATCACCCAAGTCACGGAAGGCAAGCAAAGCACTCAAGGGCAGCACCAACAGCAAGACTGGGTCCGAACCTGAACGCACTGGAAGCGAGGACACCAGTGAGACAGCTGAGGAGGAGACAACAGGTTCATCACCCAAGTCACGGAAGGCAAGCAAAGCACTCAAGGGCAGCACCAACAGCAAGACTGGGTCCGAACCTGAACGCACTGGAAGCGAGGAGACCAGTGAGACAACTGAGGAGGAGACAACAGGCTTATCACCCAAGTCACGGAAGGCAAGCAAAGCACTCAAGGACAGCACCAGCAGCAAGACTGGGTCCGAACCTGAAAGCACTGGAAGCGAGGAGACCACTGAGACAACTGAGGAGGAGTCGTCAGGTTCATCACCCAAGTCACGGAAGGCAAGCCAAGCACTCAAGGGCAGCACCAGCAGCAAGACTGGGTCCGAACCTGAACGCACTGGAAGCGAGGAGACCAGTGAGACAACTGAGGAGGAGACAACAGGTTCATTACCCAAGTCGCGGAAGGCAAGCAAAGCACTCAAGGGCAGCACGAGCAGCAAGACTGGGTCCGAACCTGAAAGCGAGGAGACCAGTGAGACAACCGAGGAGGAGACAACAGGTTCATCACCCAAGTCACGGAAGGCAAGCAAAGCACTCAAGGACAGCACCAGCAGCAAGACTGGGTCCGAACCTGAAAGCACTGGAAGCGAGGAGACCAGTGAGACAACTGAGGAGGAGACAACAGGTTCATCACCCCAGTCACGGAAGGCAAGCAAAGCACTCAAGGGCAGCACCAACAGCAAGACTGGGTCCGAACCTGAACGCACTGGAAGCGAGGAGACCAGTGAGACAACTGAGGAGGAGACAACAGGTTCATCACCCAAGTCACGGAAGGCAAGCAAAGCACTCAAGGGCAGCACCAGCAGCAAGACTGGGTCCGAACCTGAACGCACTGGAAGCGAGGAGACCACTGAGACAACTGAGGAGGAGACGTCAGGTTCATCAGAGGTCAGCAGCCGTGCGACGGGCAGCTCACCCAAGTCACCGCAGACAGGCAAAAAGCCCAAGACCAGCAGGAAGGAACACAACACGCAGACCAGCAAGACTGGGTCCGAACCTGAAAGCACTGGAAGCGAGGAGACCAGTGAGACAACTGAGGAGGAGACAACAGGTTCATCACCCAAGTCGCGGAAGGCAAGCAAAGCACTCAAGGGCAGCACCAGCAGCAAGACTGGGTCCGAACCTGACAGCACTGGAAGCGAGGAGACCAGTGAGACAACTGAGGAGGAGACAACAGGTTCATCACCCAAGTCACGGAAGGCAAGCAAAGCACTCAAGGGCAGCACCAGCAGCAAGACTGGGTCCGAACCTGAACGCACTGGAAGCGAGGAGACCAGTGAGACAACTGAGGAGGAGACAACAGGTTCATCACCCCAGTCACGGAAGGCAAGCAAAGCACTCAAGGGCAGCACCAACAGCAAGACTGGGTCCGAACCTGAACGCACTGGAAGCGAGGAGACCAGTGAGACAACTGAGGAGGAGACAACAGGTTCATCACCCAAGTCACGGAAGGCAAGCAAAGCACTCAAGGGCAGCACCAGCAGCAAGACTGGGTCCGAACCTGACAGCACTGGAAGCGAGGAGACCAGTGAGACAACTGAGGAGGAGACAACAGGTTCATCACCCAAGTCACGGAAGGCAAGCAAAGCACTCAAGGGCAGCACCAGCAGCAAGACTGGGTCCGAACCTGACAGCACTGGAAGCGAGGAGACCAGTGAGACAACTGAGGAGGAGACAACAGGTTCATCACCCCAGTCACGGAAGGCACGCAAAGCACTCAAGGGCAGCACCAGCAGCAAGACTGGGTCCGAACCTGACAGCAGTGGAAGCGAGGAGACCAGTGAGACAACTGAGGAGGAGACGACGGGTTCATCAGAGGCTAGCAGCAGCGCAGCAGGGTCGAGCGTCGGCTCTGGCGGCAAGTTGCCTCACAACATTCTCACTGTTTCTGCCAGTGGCCCGGAAATTCTGCAGGACAGCTCGCGGCAGCACGCGGAAGCACCAAATTCGACACAAACTAGCCGGCACCTGGTTCACTCGGCTGTCGGCAAGAATGCGACGAACGCCACAAATGCCACGCGGCTCAGCTGCACTGATGTTTTCTTGTTTTGATGTTCGACTTGCTGGGCTGTTGGGCAGGCCTACCATGCGCCAGCCAAGCAAACAGATGCTTTACTTGATTGTTTTGGCATTTTTCAATCCTTGATCCAGACCAGGAATGCCACTTCCAGTGTCACGCCCAATGCGACTGAGCCAAAGGCGGCAAAGGAAGACTGGGAGCTCGTGCGCAAAGTGGGCCAGACGGAGCAGCAGATCCAAGGCTCGGCTTCCATGCCATTTGAGTCGCGGGTTTCGGCGGTTTCCTTTGAGCGACATGGGCGAATGACAACGAAATGGCTGAAACGACCGAAGTATCAGCGATTCCGCCTAGAACTCGAGAGGTAGCAAGCTTGCTTGTTGGCTGGGCTGGCTTGCTTGCTGACCAGCTGGGCCTGAGGCCGGAATAGCTTTTTCCCAGCAACGGCATGTTCAGCCTCGGTTGCTTGCTTGGCCCGTTCAGCCCAAATCAAGCAATAAAGTGCTAGTTGCAACTGGACAAGGGGCCACTTTCCTCCAAAGGCTTGGCTGCTGTAGCCCAAGCCGTTTGTAGCGGAGAGAGGCAGCTAGCAAGCTCCAACATTTTGCGGCCCCCAAGCGTAGCAGAATCCCCGTGCTGGGGCTCAAGCCATTGTTGCCTATTTCGCGAGAAGGTTCTGGCTGCCAGAGTCCTGCCGCCGCTTGTTGCAACTAAAGTCTGTGAGAGCAACGTTTCGCCCTCTTTTTGGGCCCGACTCACGGGGGTGGGGACCCAAGGACGGCCTTTTCATTTTGTCAGCCTCGCACTCATAGCATGAAGGTTTCCAAGCATCACCCACTTCGCTGGTTGCTGCCGAGCAACTTGCAGAGGGGAAACCTAGGCGAATTGCTTCGGGGTGGCAGGCGCCATGTGTTGAGCAGCGCAGACGCGTGGGAAACTCGACCTTCTTTGGTTTCCCAGCATCACTTCGTCACATGGAGCATGGCTTCTCAGAAGCCCTGTCCTGACAGCTTCCGCCTGCTTGCTTGAAGCTGTTAGGGATTGCCGGCGGCCATTAGGTACATGTAAGGCTGTATTACTTGGTGGCTGCGGCGGGCTGGCAAAGTTTGGTTGTTGCATGTAGGCCTCCCCATGACTTTATGATGAAACGCGAAATTTTTGCTGCCACGTCACTGTGGTCGTGAGACGTGTTTGCACCTGCTCGTTGTGCAGGGTCCCCATTGGTTCCCTTATGTTCCCTTATGTTTTGTTTAGATGTTGATGGTGTGCAATTTATGGGTCCGACAGATGTCCTTGTTTGGAACAGCTTTGGTTTTGGGCAGAAACTCCGCACTCCCCGAGTTCCTGCACTTCAAAGCAAGGTGTTTAGACCACTGCAAGAAAGTTTCTCTCGGTTGGGGGACGGCTGAGAGGCAAAGCGGATTTCACCGGCCCCGTGCCGCATCCTCGATACGCTGGCTTCAAGGCGCGTGGAGGGGGGGATGCACTCGGGGTGTTGGGAGTTGCTTCCTGTTTGGACCCGTTTCGTTTCGGTGCCAGTCTTTGTGAAAGAACAGAAAGGCTCCTGAGTTTTGGATCAAGAGGCCCCTTTGTGAACACTTCTTTCTCTTTTGCTCGAGTTGCTCCTGTACCTTTCAAGGGCTACGCTAGGTCCATGGAGTTGTACCCGAAGTTTGTCTAAATGGGTACGGCGCACATCAACAGATACTGCTTTTTGAGGTGATTGATCAGGGCCCGTGTTTCTTCCAGGATGAGGTCATTTGGCGCCCCAGAACCCCATTCGAAGTAACGAAAACAAACGTTCCCAGCGCGACTCCCTGGAAAGCCCCAGCGAAATGATGCAGGGCCAAGAGGGGTGCTCACTTCGAATTCATAGGGAGCCATAGGATCGGCAGCATGGGCAGCGAAGTGCCCGCTGGCCACAGCGGACCTTGGAGCTGGAGACGGCCGAGGTTAGGGCCGCGACCTCGGAACAAGCCGGGGGGGGGTTTCTATTTATAGCCCCACCCCACACCACAATTGCAGTAGCAGAGGTTTTTGAGTTCAATCGAAAAGCCAAAGCCGTGCTCCTTTTTTTGCAGCCTTCTTTCGATGAATCCCTTTTGAGGCCCCATGCCAATTTGCAGGGGACATTTTGCTCAAGTGCCAGGTGCCGCATGACCCACGATGCTTCCCTTCCCAGATTGTGCAAAGTTGATGGCTGCCGGTAGGTTCCCCCAACACCCCCCAAACGCACAACAAGTTGTGATTCTTCAGAGAAGTTGCCGCGCTTTCCAGGGAACGTGGTGATGTTCTTTGTTGCCAGCTTGTTTTTCTTCTTCGAGGGTGGCCTTTGCAGGGCAGGAGCCAACTGCATTTCCGGATTTCTTGGGCCAGCGCTCTGGTTGCAGGCACTTGGCGCGCTCATTCGCCGCGAGCCGAGGACTTGACACGTGCGAAGCGCACCGTCCAAAGTGAGGCGGGGTACTGGGCTTCGCAGAAATTGTTCGCGGGGCAAACCTGGTGGATGTTTGCGGGGTTTCAAGGTCAACCCCCAGAACCGTCCTTTGCTTTGCAGGAACGCTGCATTTTTGGGGAAAAGCCACCTCTAGGAATAATTTTGCCAGGTCGGTTAAGCCAGTCAACACCATCAAGTCCAAACTGTTCAAACGGTTTGAAGGAACTTTGAACCGCTACGTTGTGAAGGCGGCAAAAAACACATGCATATTTCCCAGAAATTTGCAATGTGGAACCCACCACAACTTATCTCTGGAAGACTCACGGAACTTCGAAATGGTCCTGAATGTACTTCATCGGGTGGGATGGGCTCGCTTCAGGTTTTTCCTTTTGTTGGTCGCACACGCGCGCGGCCCAGAGCGCATGGCACGCGAGAAAGCACGTACCCTCTCGCGCACGAGCTTGGCGATGATGATGGTTCCTTCGTGGGATTCTGATCTTCGGCGTGGTGTTTTCTCAAACGCAGCAGGTAAGCACCTTTGTTTTTTGAATCCTTTCTCAGATTTGGTAACCCGTGGTTGGCCCTGGCCCAAAGGCACACCCAGTGCACCCCGGAAAGGGATGTTCCCATGGGGTACACTAATGATTGAGGCTTCTTCTGGCACCTTGAATGGCATCCGGGTAGGTTGTGTCAGCCACAGTTGCGCGCCCTTTCAGATGCTTTGGTCTGGATTCTGGATCAAATTGCCACCGTGTCATGCCTGCGAGGGAGGCGGATTCCCTGTGAAGGGGGGAGCGGTAAGTCATTGGAGGCTGTTGTTCGCGGGGTGCATGTCCCAAGCATTTTATCCAGCGGTGTTCGTCTTAACTCAGGGCACCCTAAACGGGTTCTCGGGTTGCAGCTGACACCAAAGGATCATGTGTGCATACTGGGCCTATCAATGCGCATATTTCCAGCGACTGCCCGCCGCTGTTGCGTTTAGCAATGTCCAAAAAAACAGTCAACGGGCATCCTGGCGAGGGATCCAACATTGCTTGTACACAGCGGTACCAAACCCAGAAATTTGGGACCATGCTTGCAACATGTGCGGGCTGCGTGTTGTTTTTCCGCAGCGAGGCTGAGGGCGAGAAGCACTTCTGGAACGCCTGAGCCGGTGAATCCGCTCGTGCGTTGTGTGGATCTTTGGGACAACTGTGGAGTTCTTGGCGCGGCTGGACGACTTGAACGTCCAAATTCCGAGCATGGAAGCCGTGCAAGGGGCCCATGGGCTTTTTCTTGCGAAGCGCACTGGGGGAGACATAGAAGAGTGGAGAGAGCTGGACGGAGAAAAGGGGTGCGGAGGATGGTAGGGCTGGTATAAACACACAAGGGATCCTGCTTTGGGTCCTGGTCAATTGTCAACTCGCTTTTTGGCAGATCATTTGAAAGCTTCTGGACTGCTGCTGAGCGATTTTGAGTCAGAAAGGGAGACCAGCCAAAGGGAACGGGCGACGGAAGGTTGGTGGTGCGGGGTTGCTCATTGGTTTCCAGCTGCTTTCTGGCAGCCACAATGAGAAGGGCATCTAATACATGTGTGCTTGCTGAAATAGAGGGTTCGTTTCAATTGGTTTGTTTGTTTTGGGAAATCCCAAATCATCAAAGCTGGATTCCACGACAATATGCTGAGACAAGATTCGACAATCACATGTTGATCCGTATGCCTTACCATTGGGGACATTTGAAGAGTCGAGTTTCGGGCATCCTCGTGCTTCATCCTTGCAATTGTATGCGCATGTATAACTATGTCTATATGGATATGATATAGATATTACATATATCTAGCGTAGTTATTTCTGCAGATTTTTTCTTTATTTGTTTCTTTGTTTTTTTTTGTTATATGTATTCATTTATTTGTTTGTTCGTTTCTTTGCTTATTTATTTATATTTCATTTATTTCCCCGTTCTTTTTTATTATTTCTTTCAGTCTTTCTTGAAATATATGTATTTGCTTGTTTGTTTGTGTGTGTGTGGGCTCAGCCAATTCCAACCAGCATCCCCCACAGGACAAACCTGGGGTTCAGGGCTGGGACCCTGCTCAGCGCAAGCACACAAGCACGTGCCCACGTCAAGGCAAGGCCGGCCCCACAATCAACACAAGCACGCGCTTCTTAACTTGGAGTCCCACGAGCTAGTCAGGCCCGCCGCCCGCATTCGTGCAGAAGAGTCCACCCGGGCCGGCATAAGGGCAAGACGGCGTGACATCCTAGCCAGCGAGGCAACCCAAAAGGCTCTTCTCGCACTGATCTCCCGCTGCAGTACTAGGCCCGGAAACGTGCAGCTTGCAGAGGGAGAGGGGGCAACCTTCAGCATCTCAAGGTTATGCCCCGCACAGCAGCAAATGAGGGAGGCCTCCTCCACCAACCGCACAGGCAGCAGTCCCCCCTGCGCACGGCACAAGCATGATGCGCTTGGCGTGACGGGTGCTGCCCCACAGAAATGGGCACCACCCCGGACCAAATGGGGTTATTTGTTTGCTTATGCTTGTGCATTTGCATGTTTATTTACTTTTGTTTGTATGTATCTATTTGTTTGTTTGTTTGTTTGTTTATTCGAGCAGTTATCTATCTAAACCTAATCTATGCATCCATCCATCCACCCATCCATCCATCTATCTATCTATCTATCTACCTATCTACATGAAACTTATTCATGCTTGTTTGGCCAATTGTTGTTAGCTGATTCGTTTGTTTGTTTGTTTGTTTGTGTGTGTGTCTTTGTTTAATTGCCTGTTTGCTTGTGTATTTATTTCTTTATTTATTTATTTATTTCCCCCTTGCCACCCACAAACTGGCGCGTCGGAGGCGCTGGTCGGTGAGGTTCTAACCATCAATAGGGCCGAAGGTGGGGTTAGCGCGCTTGTTCCGCCAACAGTAGACTCCTTGTTGGCTTCCCTTTGCATCCCTGAGCTGCCTGGTGACCGGAATGGTACGCAACACCAGATTGTTCGCAGTGCAGAGAAGCAGCAAGAACAGGCAGGGGGCATGATCCATCGAAGGTTACGCCTCTTCCAGGGCGTCTCCATGTCGGCGCACGCCTTAGATTGGCGATTGAAGGGATGGGTGCCCTTCCGCAGGACTGAGTACGTGGGGTTTGGCCCTGCTATCACATTTGCATTCTCTTGTTTGCTATTCGGTATTCTTCGACAGCAAATGCGTTCTACACCGCTTCAGTCCGCCACTGCAACAATTGAGGGAATTCCTGCGATCCATTCCCCAAACCCCCCAAAACCAGCATTTCGGGGAGTGTGGTCACAGCCTTGCCCCGGCCACCAGGCCTAGCATTTTCGTTTTAGGCAGGCGCGAGTGACCCCATGCGTCCCACAAGTGAACATTAAGGGGGTTTTCAGAAAACTATGTTTGGGCGTGGTTCTGTTTGCAGCACCATTTTAAGGATCATTTTGACCTTCCCCCAAAAAAGTTAGAGGTGGCTCCAAACGGAACCTTTCCTTGGCTTCACCAGCGCGGAGCGCTCGCGCCACGCGTGCCGCGGAAGTGCCTTGCTCCGAGACCAACCGCTTCCAGAAGTTCCTCCAAAGGAGCGAGTCCGAGCCGGAAGGCAGGGCCTTGTTGCGTGCTGCGAGTAAGCGGCAAAGATGCGAAGCCTGGCCGTGTGGTCCCACCGAATGTTGGACAGGCCGTTTTCCTCCAGTGTTGCCAGGTCAGAGGTGCAACAGACAGGGCTTGTAAGCTGCGTGGTTGTATTGTGCTAGATGTTTGTCACCTCTCAGTGGGTTTGGGCAAATTAGAGCGACCTTTGCGAGGGGCTTTGCAACCTCACCCATCATAAAAGGTCAAATGATCCACCGAGGTGTGCGAGCCATTTTGTCCTAAGCTTAGACATGCGCTGCCCAAGTCGAACTGCCCTGTGGCCGGCAATCTTCTTTTCGGTCCTGGCTGCAAGCCATCAAACGTGCCAGCACATGCTCCGCCCCCGCTCGTTGCTTCAAAATGCAACCCCAACACTGCAATAGTGTGTGAAAAGTGCCGACAGCATCACTAGAGTGTTTGGGTGGGTTCTTTGGAGGGTTGTGTCGCAGCGGAACCACTAGGGAACACCCACACGCCTCTCAAACGTGCAGGTACAGATGGGGAAGACGAGCCGCTAACTCTTCCGGAGGTTGAGGAGGAGCACTGCTCAGCCAGCTGCCCAGCGCAGCAGAATCCCATGTGCAGCTTGAATCTTTGAGCCAGGGCAGTAGCATCAGCTGGGGGTTGTCAAAATTATGGCCGGTTTCTTTTTGGACCTGCCGCCCAAGGTGCCGCCTTCAAAGGAACCAGACCAGACGCGTCCCCAAAGCTTTGAGAAATGAACATGGATTTGACACACCACACTCTGCGTGTCTCAATACGCTTACGAACACGGCTCACCATCCATGCCTTGCGCGAAAGAGAAGAAGCGAGGCTGTGCCTGTGCAGGGCAAGGCTACGCTGAGCAGGGCCGCGCAAAGCAAGGATGTGCAGGTTAGAGCTGTGCAGCAAGGGCTATGTTAAACGTGATGTTCGGCAAAGGCATGTTGAGATGTGCTGTGGAGCAGGGCTATGCCCCATGCTGAGATGTGAAGCAAGGCTTTGTGGAGATGCGGTGTGCCTTGTTCCTGTTTTGGTTGGTGTTGGCATCCGGATCGAAAGGGAACCCGCTTTGAGTAGCTCCTGGTTGAGTGCCTTGGACTAGGAATTTGTTGGGGTTGGTCTTATGCGCGTGTTTTTCATCCCAACATGGTGGGATGACAAAAAAAAAACAGGCCGCAGAGCAAGATACCAGAGTCCTGAACAGGGAGCCCAATTCCCTCACCTGTCCTAGTTGCACAGCTCTTCATGTTCAAACGGCAGACACGCAAAATACATCTCCACACTGGGATTGAACCTTTCAGTTTTTTGTTGTTGTAGCATGCCGCCGGGAAGCATTGTGTGGTGCCCCGTGCTTTGGCAACTGCCGGAGGGTACGTACACACCTGCCTGCGGGGAGAGAGGTTGATCTACTTCAGCCTCACATGGCTTGCTCTGTAATCCGAAGGTGCCGATTTGGAGGGTGGCACGGCCACACTGGACCTGTAGACCAGCTGTTCTGCAGGTGGGCCTGGGACAATCCGGAAGCAACCTTCACACCCGATCGCCAAACGGTCCTGCCTTTCACGAAGCCTTCGACAACTTTTGCCAAAACAGAACACCACATAAAACCAGGATTCCACCCCTGCCCTTTCTTCCTTTCTTGTTTGGGTGGTTCGCCATGTCCGCCACAAAAACACCAAAAAAGCAAATAGTCACGCATCCCAACAGGGTTCCATTTGCCTTGGGTCGCGGATTGTCCAGCGCGCGCCGAGGCCTGGCGTGCGGAATGGGACAAGGCGGACATCGAGCTCGCCCGGGATCTATGCGGTTGGCTGGGGCAGACGGGCGGGAAGAGAAGGGTGGCAGGGAGTGCCCCAAGATGGGGAACTCCAAGTTTCATGCCCCAGAAAGGGATTACCACATTGAGCTTGCTGTCCCCAACAGAACCCAAGGAGCAAACCCTGCACCCGAGGTGCAAGCAAAGATTAGATCCGCAAAGGAGAGGGGAGTTTGTGCGAATGTCCGTTAAAGTCGGCCCACCCTAACCTCCCAGCACAGAGGCTCGGTGTTTGTATGAACTTGTTGAGATGCTTTTCAGAATGCCGAACTGACGAACATGATTTGCTGCACTTCCGACCCGGAAGGTGCAAGACGCACTAGCTTTCTTTTGAAGTGGAAGGGGTCCAGTGCCAATTGTTGGGAAATGCGGGTGCAAAGAAGTTGCAGGAATGGCTCGGCTGCACAAATCTCTCTCTGTGTGTGTGTTGGACTATCATCATCATCATCATCATCATCATCCTCATCACCATCACCATCATCATCATCATCATCATCATCATCATCATCATCATCATCATGAGTCTTGCGCCACTTCCACTTCAGTTTTCAAGGCTGGTGCATGAAGAAATCACTTGGGAGGCCCCTGGCATGAGGATCGTTGGGGATATGAGGCAAATTGACAAGACACAATTCACAGACCTAAAGGCCCTCGGGGTTTCAGAAGGCTTCTGCAACTAGCCTGATGAGGAAAGCAGCGCGTTGGGCAAAAGCAGTCAAACAATCAAGCCATGGATTTTTTCCAGGGAAACTCAAAGGACACGTTTTCTTGGCTGGGACGAATTTCAATGGGCAGGCCGTCTCAGACTTCATTCCTGAAGCTGCCAAACGTCGCCCGTGCTGATCGCCCAGCCAGCTCTCAATGTGGGTGAGAGTGTGTTTGTGGTGAGGGGGTAAGGGGAACAAAGCCGAGGTCAAGAAACCAGTGGAATAGAGGCCCTGCGAATCCTGTAGCCCCAATGGATGATCCCCCCGGAGTTTCCTGTAAGCATGAGGGCCTGTGGGATTCCATGTTGGCTGCGAAACAAGGACAACTAGAGAGCGACAAGCGGGGCTTGGGGATTGAGGTCAGCTTATAAAGCAACATGCCTCTAAGTGCATTGCTTGCCATTATGCTACAGCCCCAGCACAAACAACCAAGTGGTTAAGAGGAAAGGCCATGAGATCTATCTATATATATATATATACACTAATAAACATTTATATCTGAACACATGTTTTTCTAGATGCATATACACATGCAAGGGATATGTATATACAACATGTCGGAATACATAGATCCTTAAACACTGCACGCATGCTACAGGGGCATTGGCACTTTCGTGCCGGAGGTTTCATTTGGGAGAGGATGGGCCGAAGCGGCGCATGGCCCAATGGGCGGACGGTGCATCATTGACATCTTGCTGGACACCCAGGTGGATGAGGGATACGAGGCTACTCAAGTGGACAGCACGCAGGAGGACGGCCTTGGACACTTGGGGCTTTGAGGCTTGGTGAATGGTATGATGGTTTCCTCGCCCGTCCACCCTTCCTTTTATTTGGCCTTTAGAGTCTCCGGAACTCCCTGGCTCAACAATGATATTGGAGACATACTTGTGTAAGCACTGGAGTCTCAGTCAGGGTGTCTTTCTTGGGGGAGGCTGCTGGCTAGTCTTAACTGGGTTTTGCGCGGCGGCGTTGGCGAGCTGTTGGGCACTGAACTTGGGCGCCCCCAACCCAAAGTGAGTGATCTTGGGCGCTGACAGCATCCCCTCAAAGGCCAGTGTTTGCATAGGGCGTACATGTGCAATATACATATTGCAATCAGCACGCGAAATATACGGGTGTTTTTTTTGTGGCATTCATTCACGCGTGTACTTCGCTGTTCAGGGTATGCGTGTTTTGTTTTTGTGGACCTGTGGCACCACGTCCGAATCTTGGTTAAGACACCCCCCTTCACTTTCCCACTGAGATGGGAGTAGTGTTGACACCATATGAATCAACCCCAGTTTATTAAAAGGGGCGTTGTCCCCGAGTTTAGTGGGGAATCATCAAGTCATCACTTGTGGAGGGGCCCCCATCCCTCTATTGATAAACGGGTTGGTGGATTGACATGGGGTGAACATGAAGTTCTGGCAACTGCGCATGTGGACGGCGGGTGTAAAATAGGGCTGCCCCCACCCTCCTATTTATACAGGGCTCCTTAAACGATACATGTTGCCCATTTGAAGCATGGCTTTTTTCCACAAAAATAAAAGGGATACCACCATTTACAAGGCAATGTTCAGGTGTATAATGTAAGGATCCCTGTAATAGGCTGGGGTTGATTGACCTGGGGTCAACATGAAGCTGAGTTCTGGCAACCGCGCGTGGTGCAACATAGCTCCCGCAGGACTCGGCCAAGCCCATCGAGGTGGTGGAGGTGAGCACGGATGAAGATGTGGACACCACGGCCAGCGAGGGGGAGCTGGCGGCGGCCCGGCCGAGAGGGAGGGAGGGAGGGACCGAGGCAGAGAGGGAGGGAGGGACCGAGGCAGAGGGGAGGAAAGGGAGGGAGGAAAGGGAGGGAGGAGGAAAGGGAGGCAGGGAAAAGGGGTGTATTTGGTCTCCACCCTTGAAGCAGGGGCTGCCAAGACAAATTGTGAAGCATTGGAAAGCGCTCAGATCATGATGATCATTATTCAATTTGGAGGGGGAAGCCCTGCACCTCTGCGTGATGTAGAGCCTTAAAAGCCACCATAAACCAATAACCAACAAGGGCGAAAACACGGGAACGGGTAGGCCAGGCAAGCTGGGGGCATGTTTCTCGAACACGCGTGCCCAACGCCAACCGAAAGACACGTGTTTGCAAGCACCTTGCCAGCCAGGCTTTGGGCCGCAGAATGCCCGCGTAGTAGGGAGAAACCCTTGCATACATCAATTGCACGGCAGCAGAAACATGTTTTGGAAAGAGTGCACGAAGACAGCTCGAAGTCTGCGAGACTCGGGAAGACAAAGACTTGGAAGAATATGGGGCCACTGGAAGGCGAGAGAACAGGACGACAAGATGGCAGAACTCCAATCTTCGTCATCCATTTGACCACAAGGGACTTCTATCTACTTTCACCCTGGGAACCCTGGTGTAGAAGTTGGCGTCGGTTGTTGTTTGGGGGGGTCAGCTAGGACGAAGGCCTGCCGGAGCTCTCGTTGCGTCTCTTGCGCTTCTGCGGTGTGCGGGAGGGAACTGCGCTCCACCCGCCGCCCCCGAGGACGGGGAGAACTCGTTTTCGGGGAACCTGGCTGCCCAAGGCGGTGTCAATGATTGAAGCTTGGGATGTTCCCTCTTGCCTTCCTTCTGACTTGTTCAGGAGTCGTTTCCTGAAGTCTTGACCCAATTGGACTTTGCCAGGGCCCTCTTGGCCCTTTTTGGAGTGATCTCCATTTTCCTTCAAGAGGGCTCCTTGTAGTATCCTCCCTTGGCTCCCCCAGAGTATAAATTCCATCCGACTCTCCAGGAGCTTCCACCGCCAGGCGGAGGCCTTGCGGTGCCTCGAGTCGCTGGCGGCCAGGGGCCTGTGCCCCGGGATCAAAGCACGTCCAGCCGAAAGACGTCAGCCTACCAACGGGAAGCATGTTTTATTGGAAAAATCACCCAGCAGCTGAGGCTTATTTAAAAGCAAAGGAACACAGATGAGGACGTCTTTCGCTGTGGTCTTCGCCTTGAGGGTATTTATGTGGTGCCGGCTGATGCTGGCATCAAGCATTCTGCCGGCTGATGCTGGCATCAAAATCATTTCCGAATTCCACTCTTGCTTCTTGATCTGTCGCACATGCCTTACCAATCCATATGCTGAGCAATGAGAGTCAAGCCGTTTGCCAAGGCCAAACCACCCCTTGGATGAAGACACCAACAGGAGGTTGCTCAAACAATGGTCATAGATGTTCAACCAGTTCCTAGAAGTCCAGGGATTGGAGGAGAAAGTTAATGTTGGACTCCAATTGGAATAGTATCCGGGTTAAGTAAGTACTGTCCCACACAGACCCGCAGGATTTTCCCCAAAGAGGGTCCCGCTGGTTCCACTTCTCAGGGAGGGCCATGTAAAGAGGGTCCCATTTTTCTTGAAGTGGCTGGCCATGGATATTGGGGGAGCGGGCTGATGAGCACACCCTTTCAAAGGGGGAGCTAAGGGAGCTGCAACGATAGGGATCTCAGAAGAAAAAAAGGGAGCGAACTTGGAGGGGATAAAACGAACCAAGACGAGGAACCAAATAGGGTTTGTCTCAACATCGGGTATCCCCGAAACTGGTTGGTGTCCGATTGGTTTCCCTTTGCCATCCAAACTGACCTTTCCGTTCGCCTCACAACAGCCGCAGGCATTAAAACCAAACACAGGTTTTTACTCCATTCATGCCCTTTTTGACGTGGGCCCCGGCAAAAAGTGCCCTCAAAAAGTCGGTGGACCGCACTCCCCGGACCGCGTAGGTACAGCCCCCACGAGCTGGGTCTCTTCTCCCGGGAGTTCACCAGCACCGGGTGCCGCAGCTTCTTGGTGGACACCTTCCCAGGCTTCGCCCTGACCTCCGCACCCAGGCAGCTGCGGCTCGGAGCGTGATCTGTTGGTCGTGTTTCGTTTGTTTTTTGTGTTTTCCCCTTGTTTTTTGTCCCCCTCCTTTTTTTTTGTTCTTTCGTGTTTTGATTTGGGGGAAGGTCAAAAACAGGAGTGCAGGGGTCCTCTTTTGTCAAATATGGTTTTATTTATTCCTGTGTTCTTGTGTATGTTATTTGTGTTTGGGGAGATGTCTCCAGAGGTGTTTTGGGCTGTGGTTTTGTTTAATTAATTACTTCCCAAAACCAGTGTTTCAGGGTAAAGTTTGGTCACCTTTGGGTGAGGGAATTGGATTCATTCGGTTGGTTCATCCGCCTTTGGAGGGTAAGGGTGAGAATGTCGCTTTGATGGACCCAGCTTTGGCTCCGGCTTGGAAAGTGCCAAAGCAACCATCGGATCAAGTCCCGGCAGGAGAGAAGTAAAGAAACGAGAAGCAAAAAGAACCGCGTCTCTGGGAGATGGTTTCGGCCGGGGCAGACCCATTTTCGCCTTTCGATGCCTATTCCCTTTGTTCCTTCTGTTCGAAGCGAGTTTCACTTTGAAGTCCACAACGGAAGATACTCTTTTTCCCCTGGCGACTGATTTGGACCATCATGGAGTCACCAGGACCACACATCATGCAATTATGCCGCCTTCCCCACTCCACGGGCTCAGGACTGGCGCGCCACTGCCAGCGCGCCACTTGTACGAGGTCTTGGTGGAGAAGAAGCCTTGCTGGCTCTACTTCGACTTG